AACTGGAAAGATCATTCTGGAAAGGAATCGAATACGTCTTTCGGCTCGGCTCCACTCACTGGGCAACCTTCATCCGCTCCGGACTCGCGCCGCCGTGTGTCCAAAAGATAGATCACCGAAGTACAAGAAACGTTCTCGGGCACCCAAGAATCCAGAGATTTACATTTCACAAGTAGAGCGGGCTTACCAAGAACTCCCAGATGCGGAAGACGCCAAGCCTTTGCCGCCGCTATGCTATCTCTAGAGTTTCGACCCAAGGATAGAGGAGGATGACAGGGTGACCCGGCTCTTGCACAGTGTGCAAGCATCAGATATTTGTGCCTACCTAGATAGATCGTTGGAGGGGCATGGTTGTTGAGATAGTACTGGCAAATAACGGTCACAGTACCGAAGTTGCAAACCCACGCCTATGGCTACAACACGCACATCTACTGCTCGCCACTAAGCTTCGGGCGCGGGAGCGCCCAGGTAAAAACTATACATGGAAGCGATCGGGGTGGCGACACCATTAGCCCCTGGAATATAAGCGCTAGCTGTCAAGATGTCGAGAGTTCGATAAATTAATATTCGGAGATGTCAGAAGGTCAAGATGTCGAAAGGTCAAGATGGACACAAATTCAATATTTTCAAAAGGTTCCTAAGAATGCAAGACCATAATCTGCCGAACTAAAGTCATCCCAATTACCCATTATATATTCCGCTCTATTGTTCTCGAACTTTCCAGTATACTCTCATACAGAATAGAATAGTCTAGACAAGTACAGATCAGAACAGAACAGAACAGGTTAGAATGGAATGGAGTAAGATAGGATAGAACAGAAAAGATTAGGATAGAATATAGCAGAATACCACAGATATCTTCATACAGAGCTCCTATTGACCCAGAATAGGCTATTGGTCCGTGACACTAGCCGCAAGGGGTCGGGTATCACTCAGCGTATATGCAACAGCATCAAGTGTACAGGTGTATCTCGAGTGTCCCTAAAGGAAACTAGTACGGTCGCCCCTGGATCAGCTATTCAGGGGCGCTCAACTAGGGTACTGAGCTGCAATTATAGGGGCAGTGATGCGATTGGCAAGCAGAGAATATGCGTGAGCTGCAGGAGCAGCAATGGTCGCTCATGAACCGTGGATTCATGAGCATTGGATTGGTGTTGGAAATTCTGACTCTCGGATTTAGGACTCAACCACTACCTGATTTGTTTCAGGTTCCCGACAAGATCGACTCTCTCTAAACATGTCACGAGTGCGCTAATCGCGCCCACTGTTGCATTTACAATTGGATATTTACGTACTACAGTGTACCTTGGATCATCATGGTAGATGAGAGGTGGCCAGTCATCACTAGGTTTGTCAGGCACATGAGACTTGTGGGAATTTCTCCCCTAAGATGTATATATAAGTCCAATATTCACATAGTTTTAAAATATCAAGTCTTCTTTACTTCATCATATTTATCCATATAATATTGTACAGAGTATATTTTCCAACAATTAGTAGTGTTGTAAGGATTCTCCTTCCCATCCTATCTTTAGTATATAATTTTACCCTTCTCCTGATGTTGCTATGACAACAGAACAGTTCTTGGCACTGGCTACTATGTTGGCACTAGTTTAGGGCCTATGTTATGATGAGCTAGTGGGAGGAAAGCAAGTATATGTATGATGGCTTGGCCTGTAGCTATAGAGTTCTTCACGCTTAGTCTTCTGTCATAACCACCACCTTCGGATCACCTCTGGTCACCTATAGTCACCTCTAGTTACCTTTAGCACCTTTAACCACCACTAGTATTTGCTCGTATCTTTAGACTCTTTAGACACTTATATTACCCATTTTTAAACCTTTAGTTCTCCAAATTATCTCCAGTAGATCTTTAGTCATCCCTCGCGATCCATCCGACCTCTTCTCGCCCTTCTATTCCACCTCTGGTCAAACGCCAACGCTCCAATTTGACAAGTGTGATTACTATGGATAGTCAATCACGAGATGGAACTAAGACTATGACATGCGTCATATAGATGCATATAAGATGGCATGTGTCCATACTTCTGACAGTATCAAACTCTATCGAACACATCCTCTACATACTCCAATCAGATATAACAAGTGACAAGTAACTATATTCCATGTGACTCATTACCTTAACAATGGTCGCTCAGCATTGGGATTTGTCTTAAAGAGGTATTATCAAACTGTGGATAGTTTGGAGGTGATTAATGTCAGACATCAAGTTTAAGGAGTTAGGTTTACAAAGCTTGGAGTTACTTATTTCGGACAAAGGTGTTTGGCTTGAGCTGTAGCAATAAGAACTCTACCTGTTCTGACTAGAGATGTTTTGTTCCAAACCATGAGAAGCTTGGTCTATGGGGACAAGTTGGGGACACATAGAGCATTTGCCATTTTCTAGACGTACATAATCTAGATAGTCTTAGTAAGAGAAATGGCAGCCAGGAATTAATTGACACTTTTTACTTTTACTTCATACATTATTCAATTCACTCGTAGAATTTAACAGGTATGGAAAAACTTTGTTGAAGGGATGTGGCATTAAGCATAGTGGTGAAGTGCTTGATGCGGAAATTGTAGGGGCAACAAAGGCCCTGGAAGCTGCGCTGGAATTGTCGGAGAGGGGGAACGGGGGAAGGGACAGTAGGCAGCGTATCAACGTGTTGACGGACAGTCATTCTGCAGTGAAAGCACTGTCGACGGGAACTTCCACAACTAGCCTCGAAGACGTACGCCAATTTAGGGCGCTATCGAGAAAGGCCCGAGTCTCGGTGTAATGGTTACCGGCCCACTCCGGGATGCGAGGAAATGAAGAGGCCGATAAAGCCGCTATCACGGACCAAGGGCCTATTCTAAGCCAATAGGAACTATGTACGATGATATCTGTTCTGTTCTATCCTAATCTTTCCTGTTCTAATCTGTACTTATCTGGACTATTCTATTCTATGTGAGAGTATACTGGAAATTTCGAGAACAATAGAGAGGAATATATAATGGGTAATTGGGATGACTATGGTTTGGCAGATTATGGTCTTGTATCTTAGAAAACTTTTTGATAATGTTGAATACCTTTGCAAATTAATCTATTGAACAACTGAACTCTTGACATTTCGACTATTTGACCTCGAGACACCCATCGACCTCTTGAAACATTAACCCAACAAATTACTGACCCTTCGAAGCGCTCCTGTTATTGATAGCCGCACGCTCCGGCCTTCGGCAACTGCCAAGCAAAGACAGCCAGCCTGGCACCGTCACAATGGCGTACGTTCGTCGGCTCATGCACCGGAAACGTCAAGCGCTTCTCGACGACTGGTGGGAAAAGGATGTCCACCTACATATCGAAATCTGGATCTTTTCATGCGACAACGCAAGCCACGAGAGCAGACACTTTCCCGGCGGTTACTCCGTGAACTAATCTCAGCCATTACGGGATACGGAAACTTTGCGACATGTCACCGCCGTGTCAACAACTTCGCCGCTTCAATGGAGTGTACATGTGGTGAAGAAACATCACCTCTCCACCTCGTTCACTGTCGACTGCACGCACGCCAGACGCGTCGACTTCGGGGGACAATCTCACATCACGACTTTACCCACAAGCTTCTCGGGCCTAAGTGCCTTGAACACTTTAAAAAATTTGCGCAGGAAACCGGCTGCAAGTCTGTCTCTAGCTCTCGGCGTAGACGGCAGTAACCAGATCATAGCACGAAGCATGACAGGTAGGAAAATGAGACGAGAAGTGTCATTTTCCAACCATATATAGGATTAATGGGTTTTGGAATTTGGAATTTGTGTTATGGGACTTTATAGGAACATTTATTTTCTTTCTTTCTTGTAACCAGCTACTTGTAGTGTAGTGAGTCACGCGGTGAGACCAAGTCGGGCATGTGGGAAGCGTGATCACGGCCGTGGGCACCAATCCTTCACTCCTAGGAAATATAGAGCATTGTTAGGATCTATCTTAAAAAAAATAAACAAGCAAACTAGTCTGTCATACCTGTACGCAGATCGTGCTTTCGCTTTTGGACTGAATCTAGACTTCAGCAAGCAAAATATACAACCTATTCCTTCCCATTCAATCTTATTTCTATTTAGTACTGAACAGAGATAAATAGATTCCGTACCAGGGAGTCGAACCCTGCGCTACCGCGGATCTTACTGAGAGGCGGAAATGTTACCGATACACCAGTACGGACGCATATTCACGAAGAATTATTATAGTATACTTCTCATTTTTGTAATCGCTGTCTTGCCGCGCATAACGTTCCTAAATTCGTAAATCTCTCTTCTAAAATCCATATCTTCACACTCCCGGAGATAGTATCCATCCCATGTATCGTCTTGTAAACATGTCCTGATCTCTATCACGTCTATCCCAAAAAAATATTCCAGCCAAATTCGTACACTTCGATTTTTGTTCCCCTGCGAATATTGGGGAGAAGTTTGTGGAAGGTTGTGGCTGTTAGACATAGATTGTGTCACATGGTGAAGTGAGAGGATTAAAAGTCTAGAAATTTGTGAGGAAATTTTGATTACTTCCACTCAGATATAGAGTACTATACAAACTATATTCAGTAATAAGAAAACCAGACAGGTTTGAGCTTATTAGCGGTACAAATTTGGGGTTTAGATTGAATTGTTCGATGAAATATGTAATAGTGAAATCTCTGCAGGTCGGGTTTTCGACCAAAACATGCCAACGCCACTCATCCCGGTTACTATCTCGACAAAACTGATAAATTTAGCCATTGTCGTAACTGAGTATTGGCCAAGTGAAAATACTTCTACCTCGTGTTTGTAGACGGCACAACTGACTGGCGTTCAGATGTCGTCAACCTCAGTAATGAACAAATCTATAAAAGGCGAAATTAAAATATATTCAAGCAGTTACTTATTGCCTTAGGCATTAATTCCACCCCATGTAAAGCTTAGCTTGGTCACTTCAACATCATCATGATATCCAAAATGTATATACACTTCGAATCACGGATATGGATGCTAAAGTTGTTAAATCGGCTAAAAGAAACAATAAAGATGAAGATAGTGGTTAGATCCAATAGCAGATAGACCTTAACACTCCTCAAATCACTAACCGTCCGATAGAATCCTCTTCCGATGACAAAATGGGCCCTCAACTTCCGTCTCAGCTACCTCACAGTAAGCGTCGGAAGCTTCCCCATGAAAAATTACACGTCTCTGCGCTCCCTAAATCTACGCGATATTCAAAGTCTCTTATGCATAGGGAACAGTTGACTTTCATCACCATGACGCCTTTCACGGATTTTCTTATAACAAGTTCCGCTGATGGAGTTGTAAAATTCTGGAAAAAAGTATCAGAAGGAATAGAATTTGTCAAAGAGTTCCGAGCACACAGCGGAGAGATTTTGAGTGTTTCGGTGAGTGCAGATGGTAGATCTTTTGCAACAGCTGGGGCAGATAAAAGCATCAAAATATTCGATGTTTCAACCTTTGATCTATTGGCTGCAATCACAACAGAGTACATTCCTAGAGCAATTTGTTGGATACACAAGAGAGGGGCATCCCAGCCTCTACTGGCTATATCAGATGAAGTGAACCATACTATTCAGATATATGATGGCACTGGAGACAAACAAGCACCTATACATACTATCAGCCGCTTGCATCGGGGTGTTGTACACTTGATGGCATTCAACAATGCTTATGACTGTGTTATTTCAGCTGATGAGGACGGTATGCTGGAATATTGGAGTCCCAGTAATAACTATGAAAAACCAGATAATGTTTTCGAGTTTAAAAGCTCAACTAACTTATACGAACTTAAAAAAGCTAAGGTCATACCTGCTTCGCTTACTGTGTCCCCAACCGGAGCACAAGTCGCAATAGCCTCTTTTCCAGACAGAAAAATTCGAATTTTTGATTTTCCAACGGGAAAGCTTTATCGCACCTACGATGAATCATTGCAGATACTCGAAGAGATGCAACAGGCTGGTACTGCACTTCAAAAACTAGAAGACGTCGAATTTGGTCGAAGAATAGGCGCAGAAAGGGAGCTTGAAACCCCAGCGTTGCGCAACAAGGCTAATATCATCTTCGATGAGACTGGTCATTTCATAATCTACGGCTCGATGCTCGGGACAAAAGTTTTAAACACATATACAAACCGAGTCGTTAAGGTTTATGGTATTGATGAGAACTTTAGACCTCTCAGTATTGCTTTGTACCAAGGTCAACCACAAAAAAAAAGTTTCACCACAGTCGCCATGGCAGCATCAAACAACCCCCTCCTCCAAGAGTCGGAGGCTCGAGATCCCATCCTCTTCGCAACAGGAATCGGAAAAGCCAGGTTCTATATGTTTACAAATGATAGTAATATTATCAAGTCTGAAAGAGATGTCCATAATGAGAAGCCTTCAAATATGAACTCCAACAAAGCTATTGAGGCAAAAATCACGGAAAGTGGTACTGGCGCAATTATCCATACAACATATGGTGATATCCACATCAGGCTTTTCCCCGATGCAGCTCCCAAGTCCGTAGAAAATTTTGTCGTTCACTCAAAAAAAGGTTACTATAATAATACAATATTCCATCGCGTAATCAGAAAATTCATGATTCAATGTGGAGATCCACTCGGGGATGGGACAGGCGGTGAGAGCATTTGGGGCAAAGAATTTGAGGATGAATTTAGCACACTCAAACACGACAAGCCCTATACTGTAAGTATGGCCAATGCAGGCCCTAACACTAACGGTAGTCAATTCTTCATCACAACTGAGAAAACAGTAAGTTATCCTTTGCTTCTATCCACCTAGGTCTTAACATCTAATTTTTGTCTCAGCCTTGGCTGGACAACAAACACACCATCTTTGGGAGAGCAATTCAAGGCCTCGATGTAATTCACAGGATTGAGAATGCAAGAGTCTACAAGGAAAAGCCGGAAGAAGAAATTAAAATTCTGAATATAGAGATTGTATGAGGAACAGCAAGTGAACTTGCTCGGCTTCGCTCCACGCGTAACATTTTAGCTGACCCAGCTTTCTGATATGAATTGCAAGTCAACTCTCTTCCTTCATACATGGAACATTTCCACTACTGTTGGTAAGCTCGTGATAGATATTCATTTCTCGGTCTGACTTGTAAATTCATCGCTAGTTTCCAAAGATGATACAAAAGAATTATCTTAAGACGCATCATTGAAAAGTCTGGGACACTTCGGCCCGTTTACCCAATGGGACACAGGGTATCGAAAACTGCATCTACAAACGATACATTCTAACCCCATAACATCTTCCATGACGTGTATCTATGTGTGTAAGCGAAGGAGCTAGTCAATGCCACATTCCGCGCTCCTTTACAGCCTTGAGTATGAGTGGACATGTGCCCGAGTTGGATCAGCTTAACTACCATTTCATAGCCAAATCTTGTCCCAGCTAAATGATCATGCCATTTCAGACTTCACCCGTGTTTTAAATTATGAAAAGTTACGCTTTCTAGAGAGTTTGACTTTGATATGCAAAATCGCAAATTACTTCTTGGACTCGGCTACCACGCGCCCGTCCCTATGATACCCTACTGAATTTTACTTCTACCTTTGCCTTTGGTCCCAGCTATACCTTATCGCGATATCTATCCATCTTATCGTGAGAAAAATTACAAGATATGGCAATGATAGTGGTATCTAAAAATTACGGTGCATGAATACATAGTTGTGTCTGAGCTTATGACATTGCTCATTTGGTTTAGCCTAAAACTAATGGAGTTGGCGAGTTTTTCATGAAGCTGTCAAGATATGTACCACGTTCGTACTCGACCTATCATTCTGTTGAATGGATATCTATCAGATTAATTAATTCTACATGCTAGTCTGACCAACAGAGATTTAAGTGAAAGGTCCGAGAAACGCTAACGCCATCTGATTTGTCCAAACAACGACACACCACATTCCGATGTTGATTTTTAATCACGAAGAGGATGTCAGGGAGGCAGCCTTGGTAATGTAGGATAGACTGGCTATGGAAGGAGAAATAGAAGAAACTACTGCGAGCTCTATATACACGGGACGTTGGGGGATTTACTTTGAATGTATGTTAAATAAATTGTCATAGCTAGCTAGCTAAATACAATAAGATTAAAAAGTCAAAAGTATACAGCTAAAGGCAGAGACACAGGTCCAGATAATAAGCAGGTTAACACAGTCTACATGGGGGGCGACATCTCATAAGGCAAAGCTACTATACAGCACAATAGTGAGACCGGCCTTCACGTGTGGGTCCCCGATCTGGGCCGAGGCCGGGCCAGGTGGTAAAATACCTGAAAGGGTAGTGAAACTCCTGCGAAGCATTCAAAGAAACTCCTTAAAAATAGTGACAGTAGCGTATAAGTCGACTAGCACGAGAGTGCTCGAACACGTAACTGCCACCCTAGCGGTAGAAATCTATCTGAAGCAGCAAAGACTCCAATACGTTGGCCTCTCGAAAAACCTACCAGTTCAGAAGCTCATACAATCTGCCTGTAGTAATGTCAAGCTGCCCAAACGGGAGAGAGAAGACATTCGCACCAATAACAGGTGATTAGATCTGGCAAAATGGTTAGAAATTTGTGGGGAAGACCAGTCACAAAATCGGCAGAAAGAGGCAGGAAAAGTTGCAGTATACAAAGAATGGGCGAAATCTTAGAAAAATAAAAGGCGGCTCCAACTACCTCGACATGAAGCAATCGGCGACCCCGAAACCTGGAGAGTAGTCAAGTTCTATCAGAACCGAAAGTCGGATCGATGGAAAATTAGTCTCCAGGAATCGCCATTCCTACTCCACCGAAACCTGACAAGGGCCCAAAGCAGTCTAGCGATTCAAATACGAAGTGAGCACATGGGGCTCAACTCGTATTTATATAGAAGAAAAGTACCTGGAGTCTATAGTCCAAGCTGTCCACGTAGCTACCAATCGCAGAACCCCAAGCACATGATTATATTCTGCCCTCGATGGTCAAATGGAAGAGGAGAGATCTGGGGACAAGCGAAAGATCGGTCCTACGAAGCTATGCTAAGCAATCCTGGAGATATCAAAAGGATAACACACTGGATCCTAAATCATGGTTGGATAGAGCAATTCCAGATGACAAAGGCGGTCGAAATTCTGCTGAGGGAAAGGAACAGGTCATGCCTTTCTTGAGGTCGATAAAGCTGATGTGATTGGGTTATATGGAGGGCACTATAGTGTAACTGCGCTTCCTTAAGGATACTTTATAAAAAAACATAGAAATTAAGCAGGAAGATTTGGGGGGTTTTTCACCAAAAGGTTTCCTCCCATGTAAATTAGAAAGTATGATAGACTCCTGCATGGGCCCACAGGGCGCCAAATCAGGATAATGAAATCAAATTCAAAATATGATTAAAAAAAAAAGGGACGTTGGGGTTTGCTAAGTAATGCCAAGACTATACTGGCATAAATCTCACGTGTAGGTGTTTTATGTTCAAGAACGTACACTGCCTTGCCAATTAGAGTCTCTTATGGGTAGCAAAGGTAAAATTGTCAAAATGACTGGGACTAGATCCCTGTACATATTGCCTTAATTGGTATGATCTTCATGCTGGCCCATGTCTAGTTACTCGACTAGGTATGCAAGCAAGGGGTACTATCCAATGACATTTCGTGAAAGTCTAAATTATGGGGATGGTTTTGAACTCAATGGGAAAAGTACAATGGTCCTCAGTTGAATTTCAAAATTGAAAAAAGTCTGTTGATATTCCCTAACAATGCACATCCATTTCAAAAATTATTGCTCTGTATTACAAAAGTCCACATCGAAGCCCTCAGTATAGCTCGCAACTAAAATGACAGCGTACTACATGTTTTGTGTGTCTTCTCCATCCTAATACTTTGTGTAGCCTCCATTTGCCTTTGTCACTGCTACACATCTTTCGTGCATGCTGTCAACTAGTGACAATAGCTCCTCTGTAGGTATAGGGTCCCATGCATCCTGTAGCAATGTCTTCAACCTGGCAGAGCGCACAAGCCTGACCCCATTTATCTCAGGACTATTTACCTGAATGTTGTTTTTTAAGATGTTCCACAATGACTCGATCGGGTTCAGGTCCGGAGAGTAAGGTGGCCATCTAATAGGCGTTATTCCAACTTCACGCAGCGCCTCAATTGTTGGGTACGCTTTATGACATGGTGCGTTGTTGTGCATGTATAGAATTTCTGGATCTTCCCGAGTGAAATTGATTCAAAAGTGGCAAAATACTTTCGCAAAAGGAGGAGGCCCTCATTGATTCCCAGACTAGGAGTGGGTATTTTTGTGATCCGTTAAATGATCCCCAAAACATCCTGCTGTTCCCATGAGCATGGCGAGCCACAATACATGTCTCATCAAACTCATCATCAGGCTAAACTCTGCTGTTAGTACAAGGAAGATTTTGATAAAATTTAAACGTTCTTTTATTGTGACACGAGGTTTCATGTAAGAGCCACCCGATACCCAGGCTTAATCAGTCCATAATATGCGACTCCATTGTTCATCGCTCCAATCTAAATGTGATTGGGCGAACTCCAATCTTTTCTGCTTGTTCACTGCGCTTAATGGAGGCTTCTTCCGAGCGTTGCATCTGCTGTAACCTCTTTTTTTGAGTGCATTGGAAATTAGACATTCACTGCATCCCCAGTGGCTGAAGGGCCCCATTGCTAGTTCCAAATAGCACATCTATCGATTTTCAGGAGACTCCCGGACAAATGCTTAAAGGTCATCAACTTGTTCCGCGTTTATTTTGGAAAGGGTCCTTTGCGAGGATAGGATTCTCAGTCTCTCGAGCACACGCAAGTTGTACTTGTCTTATTGCGAAGCCAAGTTTGTCGGATATATTTTGAAGTGTCAAGCCAAGTCTTCTTAATGCTCTTATTTCTATACATTGATCGCGAGTTAGATGCTTGCGAACCTTAGTTTCTGAAGCAGACTTTTCGAGAGACATTGTTTGCTAGAATAGAGGATGAATTGATAGTGGTGTGAAGTTTTAGTGACTGTGTAGGCTTGGCAGCCAAAAATGTCGTTGAAAATGTGTTTTACTAAGCGATTATTAGAAGAAGACAATTGGACCATACTTCGTGGCAAGCGGGGTAAGGAGGAGAGACATACCAGCCTGTTACGAACTAGCCCAACTGCGCCTACAGGGCTAATCCCTTCAACGACCCAGTTTGAAGTTTTACCTTTTGGAACCTAGAGGCACTGTACATGCGCGCATCATCACCATGCCCCACAAAGACACCAAAACAGCATGCCTCCTGGTAGGCGCAGAAAGCTTGTCAAGTAAAAAACTCCCGCGAACCTTATCACGCGCGCCGCCAAGCGCGTGAAGCTTAAGTCATCACTCCCAACTGTAAATGTGGAGGCCATTACGGCAGTCGTCGCTGAGAGACAACAATCTCAAGTCGAATCAATTCCAATAGACTCAGAATCATAGGTCGACTGTCTTACTGTCCCGATACCTGCGACCGAGGTGTCGACTCACAATCAGAGGCCTTTTGCTTCAAAGACCTCAATAACAAATTCTATTAAAGGTCTATCTAGCTCTATATATGCGCCTGCCAAAATCAAAGCTGAATGCGATCTAGAGCTAATCAATAGCCCATCACCCCGCGTTATTCGCGACCTCTATGCGGTCAAGATCAACAACATTGCTGCATCATTGTTGGCGTGGCAAAGTGCCTGATCGCAACATCTGCCTACTCTTCCTCCAGCTATCGAAGCAGACTTAAAAGCCATTGTGACCTGTACTGCTCGAGTTATCGATGCTTTTTCGGTTTTCGAGGAATCAGTAACTACTATTTTCAATGCATTGCTATTGCGAAAACAGGCTCGATTCAAGAGTCATGGTCTGCCTAGCATCGGACCATCCCCTTCAACACTAAGACGCTCTTATCGTCCGCACGAATCCGAGAAGTCTCTTGGAACGCTCAGAGCTTCTCAAGGACATCCACTCGG